AGACTTTATAAAATAAAAGTTAAAATAAATGTGCCCTGTAAATTTAACACACCACAGAAAAGTGTTGTTAACTTTCATTCATTCATTCATTCATTTTCCGAACCGCTTGATCCTCACTAGGGTCGCGGGGGGTGCTGGAACCTATCCCAGCCGTCTTCGGGCAGTAGGCGGGGGACACCCTGAATTGGTTGCCAGCCAATCTGTTGTTAACTTCCTTGCCAAATTTCAATGAGCTGTACCCTGTGTCTGTTTGTGAGGGCACGGAGTGGCGGAGTGAGTCTTTCAGTTACTTGCGCATCATTAGGAAATGTAACCGTGCCTACACTACTACATTACTTTTGACCAACCACCAATAAAGGCAGCAAAAAAATATTGACCGGGTATCAGGACTAAAGTAAATCCATGATGACAAGGAAAAACACAAGTGCGATTTATAAAATAAGGTTATCGTGGGAGTTTTCCCTGATGCCAAATTCCTCCCTTCCCACGTCTTAACCTGGGAACTCACCGTAAACCCAAATGAAACGTACTTTGAAAGTGTTGAGACACTCAGTAATATGAGACAGACATGCACAGTGGTGGTCGTTATGCCACTGTTCTAATGCCCTTTCCTGACATCAATGTGCATGAATCGCTAACTTTTCAAGCCTTACAATTCTTAATATCGCGTTTACTTATCATTCAAAAAAAATTTCTGGGATCATAGCCGTATATCTTCATCGAGCTTGAAACACAAACGTATTCAAGTGAGCAGCACTGCATGGCAGTGACATGAAACCTCACCAGCTTGCTTCTAGGTTAGCCTCACTGTGATCTGCCTTGGGCGGTGTTTCTCATTATGTACTTTTGTTGGCGTGCTTTGAACGCCAGAGGATTAGATTACACATCCATCACACGTCAGACATGGCAGAGGGGAAAGGTCTGCCCTATGGGTTGTATGAATTGCAAGAGCCCAGCACTGGAAGCTTTTGTGAATCGAACAAATGTTTGATTAAAAAAAAAAAACACAGGAAAATAATTGTTGCCTGGACTCAATTTAAATTCACTTTTTTTATCAATCTTGTAACATTTACTTGGAGTGTGAGCAATGTCGATCCTGCTTGGAGACCGGCATAACACGACACGTTTCTGAGAGACAACAATAATGATGACATATTAAATGGCGGAAAAAAAGAACAGTCAGCACAGACCAAATTGTCCATAAACAATGCAACAGGTCTTTCAAAATGTGTTATGTTCTTATGAAACCAAGGTGGAACTTTGTGGTTACAATTCGACAAGGTATTGTGCCATGAAACAAGACTGCACATTAAGTTTGGGCCAGCCAAAGCCCCATTTGAAATTCTTTGCAGTGTCCAGAAGAGGACTTCACACAAGGGATGCCCTTGCAATCTGACATGTTAGAAGCGTAATTATTATCAAGTCAATCTTATGCTCCCCGCCAAAAAATGTTTGTAGGGTGTACATTTATATAACCGGCTTGCTGTACTCGAGATGATTTATCATGGTCCTGTTTACCTGTAAACCACAGTTTCTGAGAACTGCTCCACATCTGTGTTGCATGGACTCAAGAAACTTCTGGCACCTGTCAACGGTTATTGCACCCTAGGACCACTGGACTACATTCCACAAGTCTTCCATATGTCTCGCCTCGCTAGTGAATTAAGGTTCCTTTTAAAACCAACGCAATTATTTTGAGCACAAAGAATGAATGAAATGACTGTACTTGATCAAGATATCGCCAAATAAAGGTGATATTAGCGTTGGCGGGAATTGTTATTCAGCATCCACAGTTTAAATTGTTAAACTGTGGATGCTGAATAAACATAATAATTATGTTCCTCACTTTGAAGGAGAGCAGGGACAAGTAACATATAAACCATACCAAAAAAAAAAAAACTGGAAAAAAGTTGGGATGGTACGCCCTGGTAGCCTTGTTGAGTGAAGCCAATTGTGTTTGGTTGTAAAATGTGGTGAGACAAAGCCCTCTCAGGAGTGTATACATTCAAGAAATTACAGGAGATGAAAATGGTCTTTTATAAGGGGGTAATAGGAATTGAAAGACAAAGACAAACTTGTTCAAAGCTGATGATGACGTCAACAATTTCGACTTTTCTTTATTATCATCAGAAAGCTACTCTGGTGTTGTACCAGGCCACAAAGATAGATCAGGTATGATTAGCATTTAGCAAATTCAATCCCTTCAGCGAGTAGCACCTTGTTATCCTTTTTTTTTTCCCCATCTGCCTTTTGATGGTCATAAAAGGGTGTGCTGTTAAGGTCATTAACATAACAGCCTGCAGTAGAAGTGTTGGATGTAAGGCTCTTTTTGTCACCCAAAAACAACGCGCGTAGCTTTCTATTCACTTTCCTGAAAATGTTAGCTATTGTTTTATCTATCTGAAGGAGAACATTTCGGTCTTCTCAGACTGCACACAGGTGTACCAATTCAGTGCGACGTATTTTTGTCCACTTGTACAGCAAATCAACTGCTGACTGCAGTCATGTGTTTGCATGTGAGCATCCGTGATGACGAGTTCCATCAAGCAAACGGCTCTAATGGAGTCCCGCACAAAGAGTCTACAGTCCAAGCGCTTGGCACGCTCAATTTCACAATCAAACTCTCTCACACGCGCACACACACACACACACACACACACACACACACACACACACACACTGTATATATAAAACAATTTAGATAAATACGAAACATGTCTCAGGCAGAAATATAATCAACTCAAATAGAAAACCACAAAGTATACTGTGTATACGACGTATTCCGAGCCCTCTGCGGAAACGTGTTCAATGAGCCCCAATTGTAACCTTAAAACCATGTATGTCGCAACCACCATTAAACAATTTAAAAAAAAAAAAGCACCAAACAAAGAAACCATTGGGTTGCTGTATACAAATAATTGACCTTCCACGATTTCACCGAGCAATAAGAGACCGTTGAAAAGACGAAAAAGTACCTCTGTTCTGTGCTACACTAAACTTTTAAAAACAAAGGTGGATTTTTTTGCGGGTTTATTTTTTTGTACTTCAGAATAATATGTACAAATTAGGCAAAAACCTCAACCTTGACTGCTTGTCAATCTCTCAGGCAAGGGAGAAGACCTTACAAGCACCCAAGAGAATCCAAACATGGTACCTTATGAACAAGGTCCAATGACTCCACTCAGATGATAAACTCCATCCATCTATTACCTGTTCCGCTTATCCTCACGACGTGCCAAATTCTGTCCCAACTGTTTTCAGGCAGGCATTGGTGGCCAGCCAATCGCAGGGCACACAAAGACAAACAAACAATCTCACTCACAATCACACCTAGGGACAATTTTGAGTGTTCAATTAACCTACCGTGCATGTTTTTTTCTGGAGTACCTGTAGAAAACCCACGGAGGCATGGGGAGAACATGCAGACTCCACACAGAAAGTGCAGGGCCTGATTTGAACCCACGACCTCTGCACTGTGAGGCATATGTGCTATCAGTCCCCCACCATGCCACTGTCGTCAGATTTTCCAGAAACTTGACATGTGGGAGTGATTGAAATTTGGAAGTCAATGTCACCATGTGTTATACATTGTTAAGGAATTTGATATACAGTTTAAAAAAAAGGAAAAAAATGTTTGGTTAATACATCCTTGAGTAACCATAGTTCCGTTAACCTAAAGAATATGTCAGAAATCATTTCAAACATATGGCGCAACAGCAAGGTTGATCTTTGAAGACATAGAGTTATTTGTATCCCAAATCTAAACTGCCGGCCATGTTGACTGAAGCAATCCAATGGAACCATTTAAGTTTTATTTCCTTTTCACTTTTTTGTTGAAGAATGACATTGAAAGTGAAAGGTGATTTGTTTATTATGTGCTGGAACACCACATTTTTCAGGAAATTCAATAAAACTACACCAACTCGAAAGCACATTTGTCGGCGGCACACAAAAAAATTAATAAATAAAAAGAAAACAAATGTGTCCCATGCGGCACCTGTATTGTGAAATAGGTTTTAAAATGTATGTGTGTTTGAATAGGACACAGACATTCCTATTTAAAATTATGTATATTTTTTGAAAAACCATGTATGAAGGAGGAGGGCTATTATTAAAGTATCATTTTCACATATTTTGCTGCCCCACAAATGGCAACTCATACCATTGCGCAAGCTTCATGACACAATTTCTTCACATAACTTTCGGTGTATAATATTCCTCTTCTTCCATTTTGTTTCTCTTCACATTCACTCTTGGGATTTGTTGTTATTTCAGATAAAGCGTCACTAAAAAAGCCAAAGTAAAAGAAAAGAATACAGAGTTTTTGCGCATTTGTGAATGTAATGCAGATTATCATCCATCACGGGGGATTAGAATAGTAAAAAGCCTTCCATGCCAACAAATATCCTTTCCTGTGAACTGTGGTCACACAAGATTTGCTGACGACATGCGTGCTGTGGTTATTAAGGTACGTACATTTTAATTTGAATTATATGACTTCTCAGGGGCAGTTAGACTCGACTTTTGTTGTATTGCGATTTAAACTTTGGCAGAAATCCCGATGCTTTATCCGTCTTTGCTCAAGGTGCAACATATACTGTATTGCAATTACACGGAACAAACAACAAACTGCAATCGCTTACATATGATATGATTACAGGTAAGCAATTCTTAGTTCAACGTATGCTTCTTACGTAAACATTCCATTGTTGATATTAATGGAGCTACTGTTTCAAGACTAGAGTCAATTGAGCCACAAACTCCAATATCATATGAAAGCTCCAGACCAAACTGTTCCACAAAATGTCAACGTCATTATAGGGGATACCAAAAAGGTTAATTTGTGAGTATAAACGACCTTTCCGCTACTGTGATGTAGCCTCTGTCAGCATATCGCATAACATCATACACAGTATAGAATCCCTCTAAAGCATGAAACATCTTTGTCATTTCTGTCAAAACACAAGCTAATCTTATTAGGAGTTTCTCATGCGTCTTACCCAAAAGGGCTCCCAGCAGGCGGATTGAGGTGGACCGTTGGACCATACTCTTGGTTTTAATTCCTCAGCTCAAAGCACTCTGCTTTGAATTCAGCACAGTGTGCGTGTGTCAATATATTTGTAGCACATATATAAATATACGCATATGTATATGTGTCCACGCATGCAGGGCAAGTCGGGCACACTGCTGCGTCACGGGCCTCTTCAGGGGATGTTCAGGGTGCCAAACATGAGTGGTCAGACATCAAGTCTTCATTGCAATTCTGGTACATGCTCATAGCGGCAACTCATTTTGGTTTGTCTCCTGTGCTTCCTTTGCTGCGGAATATCTGAAAACAAAAATAGGAAATGCAATTAGGAAACAGACAAGATGCAAATAATCCCATTGAACACACTGAATAATTGCAGATATTTATAATCCGCAAGAATGCTGCAAGAGAATGAATCCAATTTCAGTCACATTCTGCTACTGAGAATCAGTTGAATTATTTAATTTAATTGTACTGGTGCGTGTCCTCAAACAACCAGCACGTAAATAGCAATAACGTTTGCATTTGTACAGTATTTTCTATCCCAAGCAAGCGTGTGTGTCCACAGTAGGCATATTGTAAACACAAGCTGTACCTCCTGCTAATCTGAACTGGGTTGCAAAATTGCTGCCACAAGGCAGGGCAGCACATCAGTGTAGTGGATACTCATTTACACCAGAATTTGTCAGAATTTATTTCCATGAGTCTTTTAAAAAGAAAGCACTGCAGTTAAAGTAAAAAAAAATAAATAAATCTATAAATTATAAATTAAAGTTAACACATTTTATATTAATTCTGGTAAAAAAAAAAAAAAAAAAGTGACAAATTTAGAGTGAAAATGTGAAAGGCAAATGGAATGCGACCAGTGCAAGAAATGTACAGTATTGGCGGATGAAAACAGCGGAGCTAAAGTTTAAAAGAAAAAAAAAAATGACGAGTGGAAATTCTGATCGGCTGTGAACTTTAGTCACCAGCCATATTGGTTTGTATTCAAAAAAGTTCATTTAGAACACTGGTCACCAGACACCTTTTACTGGGTTACATGCCCCAGTTTTCAAGAGCTGGACCCCAGTATGAGGTGTGGACTGGCCCTCGGAATGGGAATGCGCAGTTGTTAATATGTCGCATCCACCCAATGTTCCCGACATTCATTAATTTGCGACCTGTTTGCGAAGGACGCTCCCTTGTCCTGCCCTCCTCCGCTAATGCTAATATTTTTGAAACATGCCCGTAGGGTACTCATAAGGTCCTTGAGGGCGACCTGGTGGCCACGGGCACCACGTTGGTGATCCCAGATGTATACGTCCTGAAATAACGTTCAATCGCTAATTAATGGTGCTAAAAAAAAATGACAACTACACTGACAGTGTATTGTACGGCGCCTGTTGCCAGCGTTTAGCAGTGGCTCCAACGTTAGCCGCTGGATTTCTTTTCAAAGGCAGTTTTGATTGACCTCAATGACTCGGCACACTTTGATGCTGACAGTTGAACACAGTTGCCGTTCCTACTGATATTTTTTCACAAACAAGGCTCACTGTTGTTCTCACCTGCAAAATCGTTACTGTGGTTCAGACGTCACTCATATAGACCGATATCTATGGGGGAGAGAGTTGTTTCAATATGGAAATTACATTTGTAAATGATAATTGATTTACTGAATTGATATGAACATGCTAAAAAACGTCGCCAATTAATAATAAAATGTTGGACTGTTCGTTGATTGATTCAATGACATTTCTTTTGAAAATGAATAGCAATTTATCTAAAATCTTACTCATTTTTCAAAAGAGGAAAATAGTGTGGCGCAGTTTAAATTTGTTATTAATTTATATTTTTTTATTTTTATCTGAATACCCGATTATTCAATAGCATTTTCAGTGGGGTATCTGAATAAGAAAAAGTTAGGCGCCACAGTGGTTGACTGGTGATTGAGAGTGTGAATGGTTGGTTGTCTATGTGTGCACTGCAATTGGCTGGCAACCAGTTAGGGGGGTACTACTGCCCGAAGACGGCTGTGATAGGCTCCAGCACGCCCACGACCCTCGAGAGGGGAAGCTGGTCAGATATGGATGGATGTATTCCGTTCCAGAAAAAATATATATAATCAGATTACAAGTACATTTGTGAAAAATGTGGATTATTTTACAGGATTACATTTGTAATGCAGGAAGTGAGATGGCACAGTCGAGTCCCCGATCACCCACTCTTAATTTATTGCCCAATTTCCCTGAGTTAGGTGGATAACTGCTCACAATATAGCTCAATGGCTGTCCCACATCGAAGTTTTTCTTGGCCAAGGATTAAATGAGACAGGTCACTGGTTCAGTACGTGGTGGCCTTTGCATGGCCAGTTTGGAAAGTGACTTGAAGGGAATGGATGGTGACTGTTTTCAATCATATTTGCTGGAGCATTTAATTCGTTGTTAATGACATTTATAAAGATACGTTCAAGCTGTCGAAATCATCCGGATTGTTTGTTACCATATGAGGAGCTCGTGGGGCTAACACAACGGCCACAACTTCTAAGTAAATACTTAACTAATTCCCATCATGAATCACCCACAGCTTTATTATTTAAATGCCATAATATCAATTGCATCTGTTAAATTTGTCGCCGGGGGGGGGAAAAAAAAAAAAAAACATTTTTTTCGCTGTGGATATCACGTATCATGGTATCAAAGTTACGAACATGTGCTTGTGCACGTGTGTATTTGTGTGCGTGTGCGGGTGTGTATGAAATGGGAGATTGAAGCTCACTTGTCCTTTTTTACCTTTCACTTGGAACAAACATTGATCATGTGGAAAGGTTTGAAAAACTTTATCAAGCTAGTGAAACTAATTTCCCTCATTATACGTCCATCAAAAACGTGTTGCATTCAAGAACATTCATAAAAATCTTCCCTTATGCACCCACTAATTGTTTCAAGTGGAATCTATCGATCTATTTATTTATTTATATATGTGAGGTGTTGCCTTCATGGACACTTTGAAAACTGCCATTGTTTCACATGGTCGTCTCACCTTCCAAACATCTATCCTGCAATCCATCTATTTATCCATCTATTCCTCCGTCCGTCTTTGCAGCATGGTGCACAAGTGGTTAGCACGTTTCCTTCACAGTTCATGTGCTTTTGATTTAAATTGCAGATGCACAGGCTTCTTCCAACATTCCAAAAACCATGCATATGAAACACCCCTAGGACAGAAAAGACGAGACAAATATCTAAAAATACATCTCATCTAGATTTTTTTTTTTGCTTTTTTTGTGTTGATTTTTATAAGCATATTTGATAGGGAGCAATCCAAAAGGAATCAAAGTATTCAAGTTACATTACTTGAATCTTAATCCTGGTGATCATGTACAATTGGGGCATATATGCTCTGCTACTGAATATGTCCAGGCCGCAGATCTGTGGTTGAGGACAACTATAGTAGGGGGCTTGTGCCCCAGTAGAGATTTATGCCTAGAAACGCCACTGGTTATAACTAAGGATATCCCGATCCGTTCATGTGATCGGAAATTGGGAGGGTGATCACGTGATTTTGAGACGATCCGGTGAAAAATATTGCTTTTATTATTTTCTGAATATTTAAAGGTGATAAAGCTACAAAACAATCAAACTGTGCAAATATCTAGCCACTGAGAAATAGTCAAATTTTGCAATAGGTAAACTGTCTTGCCAAATGTATAAACATTCTCTCAGCAACAACAACAGAAAGCTGAACATAATGGCCGGCACACCACAGAGTTGGCTAGGAGGAGCAATTGCTTCGTCTTTCAAACCTCAGATGACATTTTCCCCTTAAAAAGCACCAGCTCCAAGCTATACAATATACTTTTTATAAAAACCCACATGAGGTTATTTTTCTTCACGATGGGTGTTCCGGAAACTTGAAACAACCGTCTCCAAATCTTCCTACCAGAAATAGGTAATGAGCTGCCGTACATAGAGTCCAATGGTCCGAAATGAGGGCGAAAAGTTTTCTTGTTTGACATCTTTGCTATTATATTTAGGGAGCCTATGATCAACGCAATGACGCAGTTCTGTTGGCCCACAGGTGAACTAACTGGTTTCATGATTATTCCATCTGATTTTGATGTTCCAGTACTCCCAATTTTCTCAGCTTTTGATGTGTTTAGATCGATTAGTCTGGGTAATTTTCAACACTATCCACAACAACACCAGATGGATCACGGAAGAGCACGCCACTGTGATCTGGTTTGCTCGAGAAAAAGAGGACATTAGGAATGGAGCGCTTCAAAATGGAAGAACAATCCAACATTTTTTGTGCTCTAAATGGAAATTTAAAGGCAAGTGTCATGTCTACTAGCCTCCAGAAAATGCCGACTTGTGTGATGAGCATCAAGCTCACACAGTGTGGGCAAAAATCAAGAACAATGCTTGATGGTATAAATAAGTAATTTATTTTGTGGGGTGAAATACATGAGTTGCCAATATTTTGTGTATACACAAAGTTAAAAAAAAAGTAAAAACTATACCAAAGCTTGCATTATTTTCTGGACATACATTACAGGTCATGATTGCTGTGGATTCATGGTTGATATTTAAATTGTCAAAACAAATTTGCCACGGCAGTCACGGTACAAAACCAAAATCCAGTCAGCCCTAGTAAGGCGGAATGAATGCAGGTGGTCCAATTTTTTTTTTACACTCAAAAATGTTGTGTGTCCGTGTGTATGTGTGTGTGTGTGTGAGAGAGAGAGAGAGAGAGAGAGAGAGAGAGAGAGAGAGAGAGAGAGATGTAATGCAATTTAATGCTTCCATATTTTATGTAAATAGCAGTCTCTTTTACATATTTTGAGATGAGATGGATTAGTAAAAATATTTGCCAAAAGCTAATATGACAAAACAATTATTGTGCAGCAACGTCATACCTGTCAACTTTTTGGAGCGCCAACCTGTATAAACTACCAAAAAAATCCTTAAAAAAAGCAAAAAATCCTTATAACATACCAAAGCATTTTATATGTCAAAATAACGGCAGAAAAAAACCCAGGAAATATGAATGATATATTTGTTTCCTTGTAGAACTTGCTTGTACACTACCAAAGTATGCAATGAATACTCTGCTGTTTTCAACTAGGAACCACGTGATTTACTGGAAAGTTACCGGAAATGAAAGCATTCGAGTAGACTAGCACCATTCTGGGCAAAAGCAAACGGAACTACCTGTTAGGGGGGGGGGAAAAAAAAAAAAAAAAAAAAACGGAAATTTTCAGAATCCGTATGATTTGTGCGATATGGCCAGATACGTAAGATTCACCACAAAATCCGTAT